GCTGTTCATTGTTCAGTTTAGGGATGAGAAAAACATTGGCACAGATAGTCAGGGGCCAAGCAAATACAAGCAAAGGATTCATCATTGTTTCCTGGATCTGGAGTCAGAGATAAAGCCTGAGGGCACTATTGCTGTACAGAGACAGGACAAGCTTCTTCATTTTCCACGCTTAGTTGCTTCTGACCTTGCTCCCAATCCTTGTATCTAACACATATTTAATTTTGTTCTTCATCTGTCTTCACAGATATTAGGTAGAAAAAATGTAATAAAGCAAAGACTTTTTGCAAATGCAGTCATGGTTGCAGTTTTCAAAAGAGGACTTTAAGGAAAGGAATTACAATGTATAGAGGGACCTAGAAGTGGGCGGAGACAGATGACCCATCTGAAGTCAGTGGCTCACAAAGGCAGCCAGGAGGCAGTTTCCAGGGAAACTGAGTGAAGATGGGTAATACATGGGAGCTGCTGAGAACAGTGCCTGGCACACAACTGGCTTGCAATAAAGGCATCTGGTTTCGCCTCCTCTGATGTTGTTATTGGTTCCTCCCCCTCCCCCACCGCACTGTGTTTCAGGATACTGTCTCCCTAGAATATTCCTTTTCTGAGTTTGGGGAGTCTCTCTCTTACTTTCTGTCGACACAATGGGATTGCTCTACAGGTAGAAAGAGAGTTCTAAGTGTCTGTCACACAGGTACCTATCTGTGTTAGTCATCACCACAGCCCAAATACCTAACAAAACCACCTAAGGGAAGGCAGCTTTAAATTGGCTTGTGTTGTCAGAGGGTCGAACCCATGGTTGTTTGGCCTCATGCTTTTTGGCCAGAACGTCCTGGTACCTGGAGTATGTAGCAGAGAGTATCCATTTCTTTGGGCATTGGAAGCAGAGGGCAGGGAGAAAGCGAGAGAAGCAGATGGGTGTTCTGTTATACATAACATTCTAAGGATGCCCCTAGTGACCTGCTTCCTCCAGTAAGGCCCCCACCTCCCAGAGCTTCCATAACCTTACAAAATAGTATCGCCAGCTGGAGGCTAAGCACTGGGAGGCAGTCCATATTCAAATCAGGATAGTAGTTGTGCAGTCTACTTAACAACACACGGCCGTTCTTCCCCTTTCATCCTGCCGTTGAGAGAAGTTCACTGCCTTCTTTTTATAAGGAGTTTCCTTAGCATATTCTAAGTCGAATACTAACCTTAAGCCTTGAAGGTATATATGTGTATATCAAAATGAACTTCAGATAAGTGAACCAGGATGACCCAAGCTTTCTCTTACAAAGGACTAAGGCAGACTGTGTGAAGGAGAAATCCCTAGTGCCTGTGGAAACAGGCAAAACAATATTTCCCCCAGATCAGGTACCATGGAAAGGGATCCTATGATGGACAGTCAAGGGTTTAAGTAACTCTCCAGTGTCCTAGCTACATGGTGAAGTGGGAGTGTCTCCTTGATTAGTTCTCAAGTATCGAGGCTTATAAGTGAAATGCTTCCTGCTAAAGCCTGACAGGAGAGATGGCTAGTGGTCCCTGTGTTTTAGCACTGCTGTTAACACTCCAGGCAGCAGGGAAGGCATGATTCATGATGTTGTCAAATGCTATTGGAGTCTTAAATGTCGCATTAAGTAACTCGGTTGCTGTCATAACTGCTGCGAAGTTGCAGTGATAGAGGGTGAGGGCTCTGAATTTATATTTCTAATTATATGTCTGGCATTACCCATGTCCTTTACTATAGGATTTCTGTTATTTTGATGTCAAGGGGCTTGCTGACCCTTGATGGATTGCCCATTCCAAGGCTGGCATGTTCCTCGAGATGGTTAACAGCTTGTCCTTGAGTACCTTCAGTAATGCTTGCCATTATGAAGCAAGCAAGGAAGAACCCTCTGGACCTCTATCTTCCAATAAGGGGATCTCACACTTGGCACTATAATTTCCCCCTCTTAACCACTCTAGGGCTGGGTACTGGGCAGCCAGAGACAGTTTATTCTCCAGTGCCCACTGAAGCTATTCAATACGGCCAAGTCTTTGCCACTTTATCTTGTCTCACCTGCTTGTTTAAGTGGGAACTGTAATAACCAGGTACTTGTCTGCATGGTTCCTCCTCTCTGCACCTGTGAGTGTCACAAGCTTTCTGTTCAATGGCAGCTGCATATTGACCACACTCAGATAAAAACAAAGCCTAAGTTTCACACTGTTTCCATCTTTTAAAGCAGTGCTGAGGAAGGCATCTATGGATGTAAATACGGCTAAGCCATATATAACAAATGAAGCCAGAGGAAGAGTCACTAACAAAGAAATCTTGGAAGTGGGGATCTCAGGTTTAGATTATCCATTGGAGAGTTGGTTGAGTGGACATATGTATGGGCAATGACTAGAGTATGTATTTTGCTCAACAGACACTGCAGTAATTGACCTAGAAGAGCCAGCAGTGGGCCAATGATGGTCAGCTTGCCCATTTTTTTCTTCCTGTCTCCAACTTAGAGTAACTTCAATCATATAGGATGTCCTGATCCAGTTAGTCAACCTTTACCTTGTCTATGCTCTGTTTCAAGTGTAATCTTCATTCATTCCTTCCTCCTTCTCCTCCCCCCTTCCTCTTTTTGTATTTATTAATTATATTATAATTATAATCTATATTAATTATAGATGAAATGGGTTTCATTGTATTTTCATAATTTGTATAATGCATTTTGATCAAAAGCCTTCCCTTATACTTTTTAAAAAAATCTCTTCCCACTTCTGCTAATCCCTTTCTTCTTCCCAAATAGTTATAGTTATCTTAGTAATACTTTGTGTGTGTGTGTGTGTGTGTGTGTGTGTGTGATACAGTGAGTTATGTTTGAGATTCTTATAGAAACATGGGTGAAGCGTTTGGTACAGGAACTTAAGCACCTTTTTTTTTCTGGATAGAGTTTCTTGGTGTAGCCCTGGCTGTCCTGGAATTCCCTTTGTAGAGTAGGTTGGTCCTGAGCTCACAGAGATCTGCTTGCCTCTGAGCTCACAGAGATCTGCTTGCCTCTGCCTCGTGAGTGCTGGGATTAAAGGTGTGGGCTACCACACCTGGCTCAGTTTAGGAATTTCATCAGTGGCTATTCCATTGGAGAAAATCTCTCTCTGTCCATCATCAACCATTAACTATAAAAAAAAATCCTCAGTGAAGGGTGGCACTACATGAGTCCCTCTCCCAGTTTTCAACTTCCATTCAAGTGGTAGTGGGCAGCTTTCTTGCTTTAACACTTCCCAAAGTATTTGTCCTCAGCCTTTGCTTATTTTTACTTGTGCTTTCATAGTAAACCATTATTTCTAAAGCCAAACATAGTACATTTATCCATCGAATGCATTCCCTTTTCAACTGTCTTTCATGGAACAGATTCTCACCTCCACCAAGCTCACAGGTGAATTTCAACAACTCTCCTCCGTATTTCCACCATCCTCAAATCTTAGTAATTAACTTCTGGTCTTTAGTCTCACAATTAGCCCCTTACTCTCCATTTTACAGACACATTTTCTGCTTGGTCTCCTGTATTCAATTCACAGGTTCCTCCAGGACTTTCTTGTATTTGTCAATTTTTTCAGGTTACATTTTCTAAAATATAATTTCTTCAGATGTGATACTCTTTCAAGAAAATGTTGAATTTTGACTCTGACTGTACATTCAAATCAAGAATTCCTCAATAATTATGTAGTCTCCAAGGGTGGGACGCAGGAGTAATTTGGGAAAAGCTCACTCAGGTCATTCTATGTGAGACTAGGGAAGGGAACCCTATTAAATTAAGCCACACTTCCCTCTGCCTGATATTCTAGACTTTTCAGTGTTTTTCAAACCTCCAGGAGAACAACAGTTAACCCTTTCTTCTCTAGACTCTGTCTCAGGATGACTAGTTCTCTAAGTGATGAGTCTGAGAAGCTGTAATCAAGTGCTCTAGATGTTTCTTATCTACAGGCTATCTTTATAGAATGGAGTTACCTGGGAGACCTTACTGATGTACAGTTTCTGGTTGAGTGGAAGGAGAGAGGGAGGGTTAATCTGAAGAGAAGTCTTGGGTTTCCTGAGTAGTACTTGAGTAGCCAAAGGACACCGACTGAATAACATGAGAATCTTTACAACGTTTGGCGGCTTTGGTCCCATGCCTCGGAAGTCTGATTTAATCAGTCTACACATAGCTTGGGGAATCAGGACTTTGAAAGGCTCACCAAGTAACAGCAGTGTGCTGCTGATTGAGAACTGGTGTGGTGTAGGTTTATCTCCATGTCTGAGGTCAAGATGTTCTTTTCCATTCAGATTACCCTTCTTCATGTTCATTGAAGCTCTAATTTCTCTCAAGCTCAATCCAGAAGATGATTTCCTCTTCCAAGCTCATCAATCAGTTCAGCTGAACATGACCTTCCTCTAATTTTGACTTATTCTGGCACAAAGGTGCATACTTTATACTACATAATCATGCAGTTACTTAATGCTTTTCTGATCATGAACATATCTGTTGTGGTTTAAATATGGAATTTCCTCCCAAGGCTCTTTGTTTTTAGTTCCTTGAGATAAGGTGTCATTTGGTCTAGGCTGGTCTGGAACAAACTTGTAATCTTTATAACTGAAGATGACCTTGAACATCTGCTTCTCCTGACTTCATCTTCTCAGGGCTTAGGTTGAAGGCAAGTGCCATAACACCTAGTCTTCATGGTGTTGGGGATAAAATCCAGGGTTTTGTTCATGCTAGGCAAGCATTTTACCAAATGTACTGGCTGCTTTTGTGTGTCGACTTGACACAAGCTAGAGTCATCAGAGAAAGGAACCTCAGTTGAGGAAATGCCTCAGTCAGATCCAGCTGTAAGACATTTTCTCACTTAGTGATCAATGAGGGAGGGGCCAGCCCATGGTGGATGATACCATCCCCAGGCTGCTGGTCCTGAGTTCTATAAGAAGGTGGGCTGAGCAAACCATGGTAAGCAAGCCAGTAAGCAGTACCTCCTCCATGGTCTCTGCATCAGCTCCTGCCTCTTGGACCCTGTTCTGTTTGAGTTCCTGCCTTGATTTCCTTCAGTGATGAACAGCCATGCTGAAGTGTAAGCCAACTTGATTTTTGGTCATGTTTTTTCTTATCACAGCAATAGAAATCCTAAGTAAGACACCAACTAAACTATATCCCCAGCCTCAGGCTTGTATTTTGAGTGGTGTTTTTGTTTGTTTGGTTTTGTTTTTTGTTTTGTTGCAGTTGCTAGCACTATTTTGGGAGGTTGTAGTACCTAACAGGAAGAACTAATCACTAGGGGTTGGCCATTGCAGGTTATAGCCTTGGTTGATGCCTGGCTCTCTGCTGCCTGTTCTCCAGTAATGGGGCTTAGCTATACTCTTGCATTCTTCCATGGCCATGAATTGAGCTGTTCAGCCCTATCTTCCTTTTTGTGCAGACTGAAGCCCTCTGAAATCGTGAACCACAGTAAACCTTTCTTCCCACAGTTGTGAGACCATCAGATATTGTGTGCGAAATGCCCATTTTCTTTTTAACTTCAAGACTTTGACTCCACACGTTTATAGACACACTATAGTACCTCTTCTCTTTCAGTGTCTTAAAAATGTCAAGATATTATTCCAAACAGAAATAAGCAAAAACACAAAACTTCTCTGTGGTAGACCTAATTTGACTTCATTTTCTATAGACTGGCTTGTTTTACAACTCTATAGGGGCATAGGCTAACATCAAATTTATCCAGTGGAGGTGAAAATAATAACTTTCCGGGAAGGGATAGCCCCAAAGATTATGGTTCACTGCCCTGTAAGACATTAGTTAATTTTGTATGTGGACCAGTAGTCTTATTTTAACATTTATTAATTGGGTTTATATATCACACCTTCTCCTCATCAATTAATGAATTGAATAAAATGTTTGCCATATATCAACTACATGAGCCATAACTTTACCTCTTTAAAATATGTTTGAAGTTCCTGAAATGCTTTAAATGATTAAAGAATCAATGTATTGTAAAACTAATTAGGTTTGTGAAACAGGTGCTGTGTATTAATTTCCTCTGAAATAAAACTATTCACCTTGGAGTGAAGCTTGTCAAGACACATGATTCTAGGAGGAAGATAAAGCAACAGGGTGTTGTGAAGGGATGTGAAACATTTCTTTCTGCTGGGAAGCATGTTAAACTCAGGAAGTATACAACTTAGTTGTAAAGAGAGATTTTTTTCTTTGAGAGGAGCCTTCCCGCCAGCCTGGTTCTAGAGCCGCATCAGTCCCAAATAAACACACAGGAGGCTATATTAATTATGAAGCTGTTGGCCTTGCTTGTTTCTTACTGGCTAGCTCTGACTTAAGTAATTACCCCATAATTGTTAATCTAAGTATGTCTCTTACCGAAGAATAGTTCCGGGCTTCCTACCCCATGGCGTTACATGTCGACTCTCTGTGTTTCTCTTACCCAGAGTCCTTCTGGACTCCTAGTCCCTCATATCTAGATTCCCTATTGGCCAGACAGTTCTTTATTGACAAATGCACAGGACTTCCCCAACACTTAGTAGCTTCAGGATGCCCCTGAAACTGACCAAATTTACTAGGACCTGTCATCTACAACTATTTATAAAGCAATAAAGCCAAATGAGAGACACTCTCAGACAAACCCGACTGCCTGGAAGAAGTAGAGACCAATTGAATCACCTGAAAAAGTACACTTCACAACTGTGATGAGCATTCCTCCCACCACCCTGGTCCCTGAGCTGCATCAGTGCCAAATGAACATGCAAGATGCTATATTAATTATGAAGCTGTCGGCCTTTTGCTATGGTTTCTTGTTGGCTAGCTCTGACTTAATTATTAAACTATAATTACTAATCTATATTTTTACAAGGACTTAATCTTTCTGAGGACACCAGTCTCATATGTCCCCTCTTCCTGGGATCACATGGTGACTCTCTGCTTTAGACTACATTTCCCAGACTCCTCCTTAATTCCTAGTCCCACCTATTTTGCTTCCCCATTGGCCAACAGTGCTTTATTTATCAACCAATAAGACAAATATATACACAGAAGGAAATCCCCCCCCATTGAATTGCCTGCTGGCTGTGCAGTGTGCTCTAGGTTTTAAGCTTTTGTGAGCTGTCACCCATGCTGGGGTGGGCTTCCATTGATACAGCTATCTTTGAATCAATTCTGTTCATGCAAGTAACTCCTCACCCATGTTCCTCTAAGTAAAGCCAGAAAAATTCATTGTTTCATCAAGTTGGATTTTAGTGCCCTCCCCAGAAATAGTGTCACACAACAGCAGGTAATAAAGTTTAACATTTGAATAGACAATACATCTTACAGATGCCAAGCAGAATAACTGATAGATCAAACAACATGTAAAAAACCCCAAGGAGTGGTAATTTCAAACCGGAACAAGCCAGACTTAATTTGGATGCGTTTGGTTGTGGACTAAGATGAGGACCATTCTTCAGCTGGTGATTTTACTCCATGTGTGTTTAATCAATGAAAATAGAGGTTCAGAATTTGAGGGCAATTGTGGGAGGAGCTGCCACGGGGAAACCAAACAATCAGTTAAATCCTGCCTCTGCCTTTAGTTAGCTGTTCTCTGTAAATGGAGGCTAATAAATCCCCATGAGTAGTTTCGGGCACATAATAGGTGTCCCATAAATGTTAGTGCTCTTTCTTGTGAGCATCTTAGAGAATGAGAGGTGGACAAGTGCAGCCTCGATTGGAAAAGAGTTATGGAGAAAGAGTTAAAATGACTTAATACTGTTTATGTGGAGCCATAAAAATACCATCTGCTGGAGCTGGCCAGTTAAGCTACCACAAAGCTTGACAAACACCAATGCTGTGCTGATCAGAGAGGAATGACCAAGGTCTTGCCGTTTCTATCATTATTCGATGAGCTGCCAACTCGGGACTAGCTTCCAGTTTACTTACTGCATAACCTGGTTGTTCAACATTTAAAGATTTATTTTGGTCCTTAAATATTTATACTGTCTCCCAATCTTTTATTGCTACAGTTGCTTCTGAAGGAAAAAAACCCTGACGACTCAGGAGGCTACAGTGTGGTATCTCAGCAGTTCTAGACTTTGCCATTAGATTGAGTTATGCTTTATGTTGAATTAGACTCAGATGAGCGATTTAATATTAAACTCTCATTTTGCTTGATGAGGCCGATGTGCCTGGGAGAAAAGGATAAGGTTTATTTATTTATTTTCTTCTACTCATCAGTCAGTGAAGAAAAAGTCGCTTGTTCTGCAACACACATTGCTGACCTGTAAGTGAATAGTTCTGGATTCAGAACCTTGCAGGAGGTGGGGGGGGGGTGCTGCAAATAAAGCAGGAGGCTGAAGGTTGTCCCAGTAGTGAAGTAAACTCAGTGATTGCTCTGCAACCTCTCACAACACCTGCATTTGGATTCTTGGTACCCATTAGGCATAATGATGGTTGATTCCACATCCCTGGGATATTTGGCCTCATTTGGATGATTAAAGAGAAGGAAATATATGTCCCAGACACCTGCCAACTTGCAATAATAATTGCTGATATTTGCATAATGTCTTTTTCTAGAAATCTCAAAGCCCTTTGTCTTTGAAAATCTATTCTTGATAGGGAGTAATTATTGGCCACATTTTTTTCAGAGTCTGAGAGCCATGGTAGGTTCTAAATATTTGGTCATTGTGATAACCAATTTGTCTCCCAACCAAGTACTAACCAGGTCTGACTCAGTTTAGCTTATGTGATCAGGTGAGATTCTTGGTGTAAGACTTGTAGCTATGGTAACTGTTATGTACTGCAAACTTTCCTGCATATTGACATTACCTGAAGCTTTTCAGGTGTATGGATGCCTGCCCAGATGTCAACTTTTCTGGCTGATGAACTGGGCATCAAGTCTTTTAAAAGGTTCTTAAGTATGTATAATCTTGGGAACCACATGGCTACATTTCTGTGAAGTGTGAAGGGGAGGAAGAATTCTCTTACTGTTATTTCAATTCTTGACTAACTATGTTAACAAGGAAGAGAGATGTTTGAAATATAATCAAGTGCTTCAAAATACGTTTCAGTAACTGACAGATCTCTTGTATGATGATATGACCCTATAAGATTAAATAGAGGTGAAAAATTCCTAACATCTAGAGACAAAGACACCACAATGTCATAGTAAAGTATGCTGTCATGTGTTAGTGGTGGTGATCATGTAACCATGCCTGTTTCATGGTCTGTCATGCAATATATAGCACATACAACTACATAAAATGCATTGTCCTTGATAACAAATTCTCTTACTGATTTATGTAAGCTGCTATATTTCCATTTTAGCATGTATTCCTTTTCAAAGGAATTTTTACTGTGTGAAGTCTCCTGTTACACAGTTAGCAGACTATTCTGTTTACAATGCCTTTATGTACATATTTATTTTTATTATGGACATGTGTGAACATGCATGTTCTACAACATGAACATGGAGTTCCTAGGATCCCTTTGCAGGGTCAGTTTGCTCTTTTATGTGGGTTCTGCATTTTGAACTCAGGTTGTCAGGCTGATAAGTCTTCACAGGCCATACTATGTATTAGATTTTATTTTGGAATTTTAAAATATAATTTATTTTGTTGATCTCCCTCCTTTTTCTTTCTCCCTCATCTATCTGTCCTTCCTTGTACCCTTCCATTCCCAGTAGCTTCATATCTTCCCTCATATATGTCATATGTGTTGGGTCATCTTCCTCCTCTTCAATACTTTTTCCTCTTTGGGTCTCATTTTTAAGTTTCATGACTTATATTCATACTTGCATCTATCTATCATTTATGTATCCATCTATCTGTCATCCATGTATCTATGTATCTATCTGTCATCCATTTATCTATCATCTATACATGTATCTATCATCTGTGTATCTAGCTATGCATCTATCTATGTATCTATCATCTATCTATCTATCTATCTATCTATCTATCTATCTATCTATCTATCTACCTACCTACCTATCTATCATTTCTATATCTTTAAAAGATAGAATCCTCACATGAATGAGAACATACAGTATTTGTCTTTCTGAATCTGCATCACCTTGAGTGGCATAATTATTTTCAGACC